TATATATATATATATATATATATATATATATAAGAGAGCTTAAACTCATTATTATTAAAAATGACTAAATTTTTCAAGACAATGCGCAATAATTTTTCAAAAATTTTTCAAAAATGCGCAATTTCCGAAAAATAAATATTATATGTGTATATAATAAATTCATTTATTACACACACAAATTGGAGATACTGAAAGAACTACCGAAGATCTTTATGTGTGCATTCTTGTACGCAACTCTCGCGCGGAAAATAACGCAGTACTCTTGTAACTCTCTGTCTCATGCAAGAGCGATTGCAAACAAGTCTCTTTCGGTGCTTTTACGCGCCATCATCTCTTTATTATTGCTTTAACGTTTAGTACCTTGTGTATATTGTTTGACCGGTTCTGCCGCTTTCGCAATGTGACAGAGCGCTGGATGATTATCTATGTGAATTTTTTTACAGATAAATTATATTGCCATTTCCCTATTTAAATTCTCTAATTGGTAGTGTTGCGAATAAAGTGCGCAACACAATAGACTATACAAACTTGGAACACTTGTTACACTCTTTGCAAATAAATGTAACCAGTAGCAACGAACAAACGGCGCATAAATAAGATCGCACGAATTATATATATATATGTATATATGTATATAAGATTATATATTTAATAGACTGCGGAATTGTCTTGTTAAATGTTACTGCTGGAATTAAAATGATAACGCGAGTAAATCGACACCTGCACAATAAAGCGTAATATTTTGCGGCAGCGACGGCGTTTGCGGTTCGCTTGGTTGATTAAGCTCAAATGTCTCTAACTAAGGACATAAGCGCTCGTTAATGCACACATCAACATTAATGGCCGATCTCATTATTTAATCATACCCAATACTAAGGCAATATAATCTCTGTTATTAATTCAACTTTCGATCCAGGATCGAGGAACAAGGTAGTTTCTTATTCAGCGTTATGCAGTATGTAAAATGTTGGCATCTCTTTCTAGTTCGAGAAAGTGAATCGAGCGGAATTTCTAACATTAGTAAAAGGTTCGTTGAACGTTTGGCAACTACCTATAAGGTACAAAGTCTCAATCTTTAAACGAACTTTCCTCGAGTTATGAGCTTTTATCGCGTTTTGTCACAGTTTTATTGCCGTTGTGTAAGCTATTTACACTTAAATGTATATCACAACGGACATCAAAAAGGTCAATGTCTTTGCTAATCTTTTGACTCGTGAATACGTGAGTGATATATTGTACATAGCTAAAGATATATATATATATAATATATATATATATATAATA